AAACACTTCAGTAATGCATTGCACTATGATGTTACAATAGCTACAACATCACTGGGTGATAGAAATTTTTCAGCTCCATTATAATCTTATAGACCACTGTCATATATATGGTCTGTTGTTCACTGAAATGTCATTATGTGGCTCAGGAATGTATCTGAAGTGTCTTTTGTTGGCAACATTTATATAGGTCTTGCTTTTTTAACATTCAGCCACCCTATGTCTTCTGATTGGAGAAATTAGTCCATTTACATTTAAAGTAAATATTGATAGAAATGTACTTATTGCCATTTTGTTAATTGTTTTCTGGCTGTTTTGTGGTTCCTCTGTTCCTCTGTTCTTCTTCTCTTGCTCTCTTCCTTTCTGATTTCATGATTATCTGTAGTGATATGCTTAGATTCCTTTTTGTTTCTCTTGTGTTTACCATAAGCCTTACATATAACAACTTATATTTATGAGTATTTTAAATTTGATAACAACTTAACTTTGAATGCATTCTAAAGCTCTACATTTTTACTCTCCCAACCACATTTTATGTTTTTGATTCCACAATTTACATCTTTTTATTTTGTGTATGCCTTAACAAATTATTGTAGTTATAGTTATTTTTACTGCTTTTATCTTTTTTTTAAAGATTTTTTTTCCTTTTTCTCCCCAAAGCCCCCCAGTACATAGTTGTATATTCTTCATTGTGGGTCCTTCTAGTTGTGGCATGTGGGATGCTGCCTCAGCGTGGTTTGATGAGCAGTGCCATGTCCACGCCCAGGATTCGAACCAATGAAACACTGGGCTGCCTGCAGCGGAGCATGCGAACTTAACCACTCAGCCACGGGGCCAGCCCCCAACTGCTTTTATCTTTTAACCTTCATACTAGTGTTATAAGTGATTAGTCCACCATCTTTACAACATTAAATTATTCTGAATTTTACCATATGCTTATCTTTACCAGTGAGAATTATACTTTCACATGTTTTCCTGTTACTAATTAGTACCCTTTTATTTCGGCTTAAAGAAGTCCCTTTAACATCTTTTATAAGGCTAGTCTAGTACTGACGAACTCCTTTAGCTTTTATTTGTCTGGAAAACTCTTTACCTCTCCTTCAATTCTGAAGGACAACTTTGGCCTAGTCGAGTATTCTTTGTTGGAAGTTTTTTTCTTTCAGCACTTTGAATATATTGTGTCACTCCCTTCTGGCCTGCAAAGTTTCTGCCAAAAAGATCTGCTGATCGTCTTATTGGGGTTCCCTTGTACATAACAAGTTGTTTTTCTCTTGCTGCTTTTAAGATTCTCTCCTTGTCTTTAAGTTTTGACATTTTAATAATAATGTGTCTTGGTGTTGATCTTTTTAGGTTCCTCTTATTTGGAGCTCTCTGGGCTTCCTGGATCTAGATGTCTTTCCTTTTCTGGTTAGGAAATTTTTCAGTCACCATTTCTTCAAATAAGTTTTCTGCCTCTTTCTCTCTCTCTTCTCCTTCTGGGACCCCTATAATGCACATGTTAGTCTGCTTGATGTGGTCCCATAAGTCCCCTAAGCGATCTTCACTTTTTTTTATTCTTTTTTCTATTTGCTGCTCTGATTGGATGAGTGCTATTGCCCTGTCTTCGAGTTCACTAATCCTTTTTCATGCTTCATCTAGTCTGCTTTTGATCCCCTCTAGTGTATTTTTCAGTTCAGTTATTATATTCTTCAGCAATCTGACATACTTGGTACTTTCTTATATTTTCTCTCTCTTTGTTGAAGTTCTCCCTGTGTTCATCCATTCTTCTCCCAAGCCCAATGAGCATCTTTATGACTGTTAAAGATGGTAAATCACTTATCTCTGTTTCATTAAGGACTTTTCCTAAGGTTTTATCTTGTTCTTTTTTGGGAACATATTCCTATGTTTCTTCATTTTACTTGACTTTCTGTGTTGATTTCTATGCCTTAGATGAAACAGCCACCTCTCCCAGTTTTGAGGGAGTGGCCTTGTATAGGGGATGAACCTTATCATTCAACCCTGCCCTAGCTTTTAGTTGCCTCTCAAACTTTTGTGATTGCCCAAGTGGCCTATTTTATTTTTAGTGGCTCCCAGTGTTTAGGGTGTCCCAAGACCTGTCAGCATCCCAAAGGGGAGGATCTCAGTCAGCACCTAGATACAGGCTGACTGGAAACAAGATGCTTAGGCAGCAACTTTTAAAGCATGCAAATATATATAGTCCTGTGGAACTGCAGGCATAAGTCCCACTGGCCACCAGAGCTGGGTGACCTAGAGTTGTGTGGCAGTCACAAAAACTGGGGCACCAGACAAGTGTACAAGTTCCTTTCTGAGAGATGCCAGTAACTTGGAGTGAGTCAGAGGGAGAGCACAAAGATGGGGTCTGCCAGCCTCTGTCTCCAGAGAGCACCTTAGTAGGCTCCTAGATGTGTGCCAGAACAGAAGCCTGCCCTTCAGGCTGAAGCTCCAGGACAAGCAAATAGGCCTCTTTCAAAGAAAGACTGGGGGTGTGTCTCAGTCTGCTGTGTGTGCTGTGCCCTGGGGGTGGTCACTGGCCAAGAACTGTCTCTCCAGTTGTTATGGTCCCATGGGAACCAGTAATGTAAGCCCTTCTGGGCAACATAGCCAGGCAATCAAGAATTGTCCCCTTGGGCAGTGGGCACACAAAATAAGGGCACCAGACATAAAAACCAGGGCACCACATGTGTGTGAGTCTCCCCTCCAGGAGTTACTGGTGCTCTGGAGCATGGCAGCAGGAGAGCACAAAGATAGCACCTGCTCTCTGAGGTCTCTGGAAAGGATTACAGTTGGCCCTTATATGTGTGTTTAATTAGAAAGCTGACCCTCAGGCTGCAGCTATGATGATAAGCTAATAGGCCTCTTTCACAGAAAGACTGGGCTTCTCAAACTATTGCTTCTTGCTGTGCCCTGGGGATGGTAGCCAATTAAGAACTCTTTCTCCATTGGTTACAGTCCGTGGGACATGTAAGCCTTAGTCCTGCTGGCCACCAGAGCCAGGCAATCTATAGGTGTTCCCTGTCAGCAGCTGCAAAAGTAGGGGTGCCAGTTGAAGGTACAACCTCCTTTCTGGAATATACCAGTAAGCTGGAGTGAGGCAGAGGGAAAGTGCAAAGATGATGTTCACTGGCCTCCATTCCCTGAGAGTATCTCCATAGGCCCCTACATGTGTGCCAAACCAGAAGCCTGTCCTTCAGGTCAAAGCTCCTGGACAAGCAAATAGGCCTCTTTCATAGAAAGACTAGAGATGTGTCTCAGCCTGCTGCCTGTGCAGTGCCCTGGAGGTGGTAGCTGGCCAAGAACTATCTCTCCAGTTGTTACAGTGTTGTGGGACTCAGAAACTCCAGCCCCAGTGGTCACCAGAGCTAGGTGATCAAGGAGTGTCTCCTGAGAGGCAGCCACAAAAACCAGGGCAACAGACATAAAAACCAGTGCACCAGATGCATGTAAAACTCCCTTCTGGAAGATACTGGTGCTCTGGAGTGTGGCAGAGAGTGAGTACAAAGATGGCACTTGCCCTCTGAGGTCTCTGGAAAGAATTACAGTTGGCCTTTAGATGTGTGTTTAATTAGAAGCCTGCTCTTTCAGGCTGCAGCTATGAAGATAAGCTAATAGGCCTCTTTCACAGAAAGACTGGGCTTCTTAGACTGTGCCCTAGGAGTGGCAACTGGTTAAGAACTCTTTCTCCATTGGTTTCAATTCTGTGAGACCCATGAGCATATGTCCCACTGGCCATCAGATCCAGGCAATCTAGAGGTGTACCCTGGGGGAAACTGGAAAAATCAGGGCACCCAAGGGTACAATCTCCTTTCCAGGAGATGCTGGTGAACTCAAGCAAAGCAGGAGAGTGAAAAGATGGTGACCACCTGCTGGAGTGAGGCAGAGGGAACCAGAATCTTCTAAGAAGAAGCTCATACTTTTGTTTCTTCTTGCCTAGAATAATCAGTTTGAGAAAAACATCTAAAAGGCTAGAAAGTCTAGATCAGGGTTTCTCAACATCTGCACTACTGATATTTTGGGCCAGATAGTTCTTTGTGCTATGCTGTGTATTGTAGAAGGTTTAGCAGAATCTGAAGCCTCTACTTACTAGAAACCTGCAGCACAATCTCTCCCCCAAGTTGTAACAATCAAAAATGTCTCCAAGGCCAGCCCCATGGCCTAGTGGCTAAGTTCAGTGTGCTCTGCTTTGGCAGCCCGGGTTTGGTTCCTGGGTGTGGACCTATACCACTCGTCTGTCAGTGGCCTTGCTGTGGTGGCAGCTCACATACAAAAAGAGGAAGATTGGCAGCAGATGTTAGCTCAGATGAATCTTCCTCAGCAAAAAAAAAAGTCTCCAGATATTGTCAAATGTCTCCTGGGGGGCGGGGGAGGCAAAATCACCCCTAGTTGAGAACTGCTAGTTTAGAGGCATGGTTCTATTGTAGCTAAAGAGCATGGTTTTTGCAGAATTATGTATGAATCAAGACTTTTGTACTGGCTGCATGACCTTGGGCAAATCACTTCACTTTTCTGAACCTCACTTTCTTCATACGTAAATGGGGTCAGTGAGGCCTGGTTTAGTGTTGTTGGAAGGATTAAATGAGATCATGTATATAAAACACCCGATAAATAGTGGAAATAATAATGTGTTAATATTATTAACCATTATTAATTAACAAAGATTACAAATTCCTAGGAAATGATGAATGAGGAAGAGAGAAGTTTTCTTAAGGGTAGACTCAACTTATTTCTTTAATTGCCCGTACTGTCATAAGAGAGTTCAGCTTTTTCCATCTAGTAGGCCCCACCAATTAAGAACCATGAAAGAGTCTTAATATTTTCTCTCAAAGACTCCATAGCCAGATTTGGAAAGGCAGGATACTGAGCTCTATAGAATTTGTGGAATGTGTATGATCTATTTTGGGGTAAGTGTCTCTGAGATTTCTGTCTATGTATATGCACAGTCAAGCATGAATCCACCCCTTAGAAGTCAAGTTCTCTAAGTTTCAAGAAGATGAGAAGAATCTTACCGTAGAATTACACCAGAGACATCGGAAGTCTTGAAGTCTTTGGTAACTGCCACAGTTCTCATGACATACTGCACACTGAGAACTGATAGATATGTTTCCTTCTACCCATTGATGGGGCATAGTCTTCTGAAGGGAGAAAAAGATAAGAGGTACAAGTTAGAGATATAAGGAGAGGAAGGGCCAGCTGGAATAACTGTACTACCCAGTGGAGGCCATTAGGTAACCCCAAGGAAGTTCTTCATGGTCCTGCCCTCCCCTCTCCAATGCTAGTGACCAATGACAGGTGGGAGTGGGAGGCTTTCATTATTCTAGATTGGTTGGATCATGAGCCTGGGGAAGAAGCCTACTTGGGTTGTCTGGAGACAGGAAGAGGTCTTTCTTCTGCTGTCTGTCCTGGCTGAATGGGAAATGGAAAAGGGTGATTGTGAGAGAGCATGGCTGGTACTCACTACTTCATCTGCAGGCAGGAGAAGGTCATCAGTGATGGACAAGGTATTCCACTTGCAGTCTTTGCTTGCTCTCAAAGCACATAATTTGTGAGACTTAACTTTGCACACTGTGAAAAGAGGAATTAAAAAGATGGATGTGAAACCAGTGACAATAAAGATTACAATTCCCTTCTCAAAGCTGCTCTGAAAGTTAGAACCTAGATGCATCTAAAAAGTTCTGACCCACTTCCAAAGGCATCTTTTCCATATGATTCAGTTCCTTTTTATTCTTACTGGCTAAATTTCTTACTATCCAACTTGAACGGAAATTGATGGTAAGAATGAGGTGATTTCTGTTTTTCCAACCCTTGTTGCTGTATTGTTTGATCCTCCCAGACCCAAACCTCCATTTTGATTCACAAGAATTCCCCCTTATACCAGTATCATCCCATCTCCTTTCCTCAGTTTATTGTGTGTCTGGGTTAACCTCACACTACAGTCAGTGACCTAGTGTGAATCAGTGATACTAAAGCCACATGAGCTCCTTTGTCCCTATCTCCTCTCACTGAGCTCTACTTCATAAAGGAATCAGAAAGTTACCTTCACAGATGATAACATCTCTAGATAAGGCAGGAATGCCCTCCCGACAAACATTGCAGTGCTGGGTCTGAGGGCTGTAGCTGAAGTACCAATAGTGCATTCCAACAAGGAAAGGGTTGTTTTCTGCTGCAGGTATCTAAAATAAATCAAAGAGGAGAGAGAATAGAGAGTCAATCATAGAGACAGATTTGGGAAGGCCAGACAATCTGCTGCTAAGGCTGAAATGGCCACCTATATAGGTGTCAGAGCATATGAAGAGGAAGAATGAAAGTTGGAGCCAATAGCTAACAAATCTCCCACCTCTATTTTTTCCTAGTGGTTTGGAAAGGGAAAAAGAATAGGGGGATAGATCCTGGAATAGTAGCTTAAGGCAGGAGCAATGATCTTTATATGGCTTGGCCAAACCCCTGCATTGGTTTAGTCTAAGCTAAACTAGTTCTGTTAGTCTTGGCCTTCGCTCTCTTTGAGTAGTCAGCAAAGAGTAACCTGGAAATTCAGTGATATCCAAGTCCTCTGGCTAGGCAAAAAAGAGAGGAGGCAGGGCACTGACTCTGGGCTAAGGAATGTTGTCAGGCTTTAGCTACCTCCTGGAGATATACATTCCCCTTCCTGGCCCTACTGCTGCCCGGTGAGCAGAGCATTGCATTACCCGGACAACAGTTACATCTCTGGGACTTCTTGCCCAAGCATTCTTTTCTGAATACCATGCTCTGGCTGCCTATAGCAGTTTCCTAGTTAATCAATTTAATTCATTCAAAATTCATTAAACAAATATACACTAAGTAACAACTATGTGCTCGGCACTTTTCAACCACTGAGGCTATAGTGATGAAAAAGACAGTCTTTGCCCTCATGGAATGGCATTCTGTTTGGTGTCTTTTTCATGGTATTGAATTTGACATTTACTGTTAACCTGCCTGTAAATGCTGCATTTGTTTATCACAGCCTGACTCTCATGACTGTGGAACAGGCACAGGGTACACCGGAAACTAGTTTGGGGACTGAAAGGAGAAGGGAAGGGGTGGGCACCAAAAACTCCACAGCTTGTTCTGGGTGTGCATTCCACAGGACTCTTCTACCTTTTCTCTAATTCCTGTGAATGTTTGATTTTTTTTCCTTCCCTGCACTCCTCTGGAGTGTATACATAGGTGTACACATTCAGCTTTTTATTCTTGATGTTATAATGGGTCGGTTGTGTAAAGGCATGATAAGATTTTAAAAAGAACTATATATCTTCCCTGAAGCCAGCTGACAGTGGTCCATTAGAGAGAGAGAGAACTGTTGAGGGCTCTGGCACATTAAGTGTTCAACTTTGATCAGTTTGCATGAATTAGCCATCTAAAACGTAGCCTGCACACAGCGCTCTCTGATCCCTTCTTCCCCCTCTGGCATGCTAGCTATGTGCTAAGCTGCTGTTGGATTGACCAGGAAGCTTCTGGAAGGAAAAGCTACTTTGATGAGCTAAAGGCTTACCTGGTCTGAGATCACTTTGTGATTGCAATGTTTATTGTATGCTGAGACCCTGGGAAAGTTCTAAGAAGATCAGAGTAGAGGGTGGAGGGTCCTTAGGGAGTGACAGAGTCTTGGCTTTGGCACTCTGAGCTCCTAGTACCTTTCTACTTCCCAAGCCACTGGATTATAACTCTACAAGTACCTTCCTTATAACCCCCTTCCGTCCTCCAATAATTACTAAGAACCTACTTTGTGTCATCTACGAAGTTAGATGGAGATACAGAGATGAAGAGGCATAGTTCTTCCCCTCAAGGAGCTCAGAGTCATAGCTCATGGAGGAGACAACTTTTTAAACAGATCATTCCAGTATAGAGCGACAAGTCAGCTCTCCTAGAATGTGCAAGGTTCTACAGGACAAATGGAAGAAATGAAGAACTCTGCCTGGGTAGAATATTGAATTTCATGGTCCACTTAGCTACAGAATATAAAAGAATATATAAAATGGACATTGTTCTGGTTCAGCAGTTGAGAAGATGGGATTTATATTTCTTACATGCATCCTATTCTATAAGGAAACTGATGCATCCAACCCTGGATGAGTATGTGTTGTATGATGAATTGTGTTCCCCCCAAAAATATGGTCAAGTCCTAACCCTGGTACCTGTGAATATGACTTTATTTGAAAATAGGGTCTTTACAGATGTAGCCAACTTAAGATGAGGTCATAATGGATTAGAGTGGGTCCTAATCCAATGACTGGTGTCTTTATTAAGAAGGGGGAAATTTAGACACAGACACAGGGCAGAGTACCATATGGTGACAGAGGCAGAGATTAGAGTGATTTGTCTACAAGCCAAGGAATGCCTGCAATTACCAGAAGCTAAGAAGAGGCAAAGAAGGATCCTCCTCTAGAGCCTTCAGAAAGAGCATGGCCCTGCCGACACCTTGATTTTGGACTTCTAGACTCCAGAGCTATGAGAGAATAAGTGTCTGTTGTTTTAACTTAACCAGTTTGTCATAATTTGTTATGGCAGTCCTAGGAAACTAATACAGTATGTCATCACAGACCTGTCTAGTAGTTGACGCAGATTAAAAGTCCATTTCGAAGACAGATGAAAAGCTGTGGCATGTATATAAACCACTGATCTCTGAACGCTAAGGAAGGCAGTTTGACTTAAGGCTTTCAGTGTGTGGTTGTTGGGTTTTGTATTTGACTTTCATCCTCTCTAAAGTACTTAGGTGAATACGTTCCTGCAGAGACCATCACTCTAATCAGATTCTTTGCTGTTTTAGGGCAGCTAAGGCTATTTTCTGCATCTCCAGAATCTCTTTCAGGATAATCCAAAATCCAGATAGGCACATTAATTATTTGTATATTAGTTAAAGGAGATCTTGTTGGTCCAGGTGTTTTGTAAACTCTAAAGCATTATCCAAATGTGAGGACTTAATAATATTACATATTTGCAAAGCGCATAAAAGTCTCAGATGAAACATCTCATAAAGCATAAAATCTTCTAAAGCTGTATTCCCTTAAAGGTATCTTGTTTGTTGTGGCTTATGTGATGAAACGCTGTGTTTAGATAAAACAAATTCAGAGGTTTGTGCTGTAACTGGAACTCAATTGCTTTATTATATCAAGGTCTTGAGAATTACAGAATGTCAGGGCCTCCCAGGTTGGCCATCGGTAGGGTGACCATATCACCCAAATCAGGACACTTTCAACAGTGAAAGGGAAAGCTATTAGAAGGGAAAACTGTGTTCATCCCCAGCGAATCACTATCCATGGAGACGCTATGCATGAGCTGGAGAGTCATTTAGCCAACTTGAATGTATTTGTTGACCTATAAATCTAGTTGTTTGGCTTAGTATCACTTAGTTGTCTGTCAGACTACCCCACAATCACAAGAGGTGAGGACTAGAGGAGAGAAAGAAGGTAATTAATTAGGCAGAATTTAAGATGTCTTTCCAAGGGCATGGATTAAAAGTTAAGAGATCTAAGATGTCAATTCTGCCACAATAAACTGTGTGATTTCAGGCAAGGCAACTGAACTCCTCTGAGGTTGAATTTTCTCATCCGCATAATGAAATCTTAGACTAATGAGCTTTTCAAGTTGAAAGGAATGCTAGACTTCATCTAGCCTACCCACTAAAAAAACTAATTTCTTTTTTTAAGTAAATTTTAAAAATTGAGGTATATTTGATAATTAAAAATTATATATATTTAGTTTGATGATTTGATATATGTATAGTGAAATAATCACCACACTTAAGCTAATTAATATATCCATCACCTCAGATAGTTACCACTTTCTTTTTTATGTGTTGAGAGCACTTAAGATCTTCCCTCTTAGCAAATTTTAGTATGCAATAAATTATTGTTACTTATAGTTAGTTTTGTACATTAGATCCCCAGAACTTATTCATCCTGCATAACTGAAACTTTGTACCCGTTAACCAACATCTCCCCATTTTCCCCTCTCCTCAGCACTTGGTAACCACCATTCTACTCCCTGCTTCTATGAGTTTGACTATTTTAGATTCCACACATAAGTGTAATCAAGCAGTATTTGTCTTTCTGTGTCTAGCTTATTTAATTTAGCATAATGTCTTGCATGTTCATCCATGTGTTTGCAACTGGCAGGATTTCTTTCTTTTGTTTTTTTTTTGGTGAGAAAGATTTACCCTGAGGTAACATCTGTTGCCAATCTTCCTCCTTTTTTTTTTTTCGCCTGAGGAAAATTAGCCCTGAGCCAACATCTGTGCAAATCTTCCTCTATTTTTTGTATGTGGGATGCCTCCACAGCATGGGTGATGAGTGGAGCAGGTCTGCACCCAGGATCCGAACCGGCGAACCTGGGCCTCTGAAGAGGAGCATGCAGAACTTTAACCACTTGGCCACAGGGCCGGCCCCAGGATTTCTTTCTTTTTTAAGGCTGAACAACGATCCAGTGTGTGTGTGTATGTGTGTATGTATGTATGTATATATATCTCTCTCACACATTTTCTTCATCCATTCATCCATTGAGGAACATTTAAGTTGTTTCCATATTTTGGCTATTGTGAATAATGCTGAAATAAAAATGGGAGGACTGATATCTCTTTGAGATCCTGATTTCATTTCCTTTGGATATATACCCAGAAGTAGGACTGCTGGATCATATGGTAGTTCTATTTTTAATATTTTGAGGAACCTCCATACTGTTTTCCATAATGGCTGTACCAATTTATGTTCCCACCAACAGTGCACCAGGGTTTCCTTTCTCTCCATCCTTGCCAGCACTTATCTCTTGTCTTTTTGATAACAGCCATTCTGAAAAGGGTGAGGTGATATCTCATTGTTGTTTTGATTTGCATTTCTCTAATGATTAGTGATGCTGAGTACCTTTTCATGTAGTTGTTAGCTATTTTTATGTCTTCTTTGGAAAAAAATGTCTATACAGGTCTTTTGCCCATTTATTTTCATTTTATTATTTTTTTTAGGAAGATTAGCCCTGAGCTAACATCTGCCACCAATCCTCCTCTTTTCGCTGAGGAAGACTGGTCCTGAGCTAACATCCGTGCCCATCTTCCTCTACTTTATATGTGGGACGCCTGCCACAGCATGGCTTGACAAGCAGTGCCTAGGTCTGCACCCGGGATCTGAACCAGCAGACACTGGGATGCTGAAGCACAATGTGTGAACTT